CTTCTGCTCCCATTTCCTTTGTTTGAACAACTTGCTTGTGCAATTTTTAAAAATTAATAACACCATTTTAAGTTTCAGATTTACAGGAAAACAGAAAGTTTAGAGCTCCTATATATCCACTTCACCTCCTCCCACTTCCCCTATTATTAACATCTTGAATGAACGTAATATATTTGTTACAATGCATGAGCCAATATTGATACATTATTATTAACTAAAGCCCTTAGTTTACATTAGGGCTCATTCTTAGTGTTTTACATTTTGACAAATGTATAATGACATGTATCCACCATAACATCAAGTAGAATACTTTCACTGCCCTAAAATCACCCTTCTGTATTCCACTTGTTCCTCCTTCCCTTCCCCAAACACTTTGAAACCACATATATATTTCGTGTCTACATAGTTTTGTCTTTTCCAGAATGTGATATAGTTGGATTCATAAGGTGTATAGTATTTTCAGATTGGTTCCTTTTGCTTAGTAATATACATTTAAGGTTCATTCCTTCATATCTTTTCAATGAGCTTGATAGCTCATTTCTTTTATTGCTGATTATTCCATTGTACAGATGTTTCATAATTTGTTTTATCCATTCACCTATTGATGGACATCTTGGTTGCTTCCAAATATTCAGTTATGAATAAAGCTGCTGTAAACATTTGTGTGCAGATTTTTCTGTGGGCATCTTTTTAAACTCATTTGGGTAGGTACCAATGAGTGAGTGCTATTGCTGTGTCACAGGGTAAGAATGTTTAGTTCTGTAAGAAACTGCCAAACTGCCATCTCAGTGGCTTTTGCATTCCTATCAGCAATGAATGAGAGTTCCTGTTACACCACATGCTCACCAGTATTTGGTGGTGTCACGATTTTGGATTTTAGCAATTATAACAGGTATTGGTATCTCGTTTTAATTTGCAACTCCTTGGTGAGGTATGATGTTGAGCATCTTTTCATATGTTGATTTGCCATTTTATATCTTCGATGACTTTTCCAGATCTTCACCTATTTTTTAATTGGGTTGTTTGTTTCTAATGGTTGTTTTAAGAGTTCTCTCTCTGTACTTTGGATGCTAACCCTTTATCAGAGTGCTTTGCAAGATTCTTCCTGTTCTGTAAATTATCTTTTCATCATCCTGCCTTTCACAGAGCAGAGATTTTTTTTTTAATAAAGTTTGATTTATCAGTTTCTTCCTTTTATGGATCATACTTTTGCTGTTATATTTAAAAAGTCTTCTCTAGACCCAACATCACATAGTTTTCTCCTATGTTATCTTCTAGGTGTTTTATAGCTCTGTATTTTGTGTTTATGTCTAAGTTTGCAAATAAATGGATATTTCTTTATTTTTGTTACTGATTTCTAACCTAATTATGTTGTAATCACTGAAACTTGCTCTGTGACCCAATAGTCAAATGTAAATATTCTATGTGCACTTGAGAAGAATATATATACTGAAATTGTGGCAGTGTTTTATATATGTCTATTAGGTTATTGTTCAAATCCACATTTTCATCGATCATTTGTATCTATACCTTAAGTACTTTTCCTATCAAATGAGAGGTATGTTAAAGTCTTACGCTATGGTATGGACCTATTATATTTCAGTCATTTTTGCTTTGTGTATATTGGGAAAGTATGTGTTCAGAATTGTTTTATCTTCTTTAAATAAACCTTTCATCATTAAGTAGGTTCTTTTCCTACTTAATGTCTAAAGGATTATTTTACCTAATACTGACATAGCTACATGTAGTGAATATCGTGATGTTCTGCCCATATCCTCCCTCGGGACTGAGGGACTTACTCTTAGCTGCTTCAAGTGCTACCAGATGACAGCCTTCACCTGTCAGCCCTCTCCAGGAATTGTCCTCTTCTGATTCACAGAGCTCCCTCACCCAAGGCCACATCCCCATCCTCCTCCTCTTGCGTCCTATGGTCAGAGCAAGGTTAGAAAGGTGCAGTCCCCTGACCAGTGCTCCCTGCCTCTCCCCTCTCCTCTGGGACTTATACTAAATTAATTTACATTCTCCCTATCTCTTCCCCATGCTTTTTTATGGTGGTTTCTTATATTCTGTTTTCCAAATCACCAGTATCTTATCTAATCTAGTGTTAGTTATTCCATAATTTCTAGTTGTTGTTTTTTTTTTTCTTCTCTGTCATTTCTTGTGTCACTTATAGCTCTGTATTTCATTCTAGAGTTTGGCTTTATAAACATAGTCATTATAACTATATTATACTGTCTGTGAGCATATTTTTCTGAATCATTGATGCTGTGTCTCAGTGTTTGCTTGTTTGCTGAACCTTTTATTTGAGAACTTGTTTTTGGAAATAATTGAGAACTACAATGAGGTTTTCTTTGCTTTTGTCAGGACCTTCTATACTAGAAGCCCAAAGAGAAAGTTCATATTCTCACTCCAGAATAAGGCCTCTGGGGATTCAGTTCAGAAGGGTGATGGTGTAGGCACTACACTCTGACTGGCATTATTAGCACTGCAAGTCCACCATGTAGCTCTACTGCATCACCAAAGCCTCAGGCAAATGCGGCAGTAATTTGGGAGGGAAGATGGGGCAAAGACGCGAATATGTATTCTGCTGCTTCCAGTGAATATACTCCCTTCCCTTTCTTTTTCTATCACTAGCTTGAGTGAAAATCCAAAAGTGCCTTTAATTGGTGTATCCTAAGACATGTATCTGATAGGTTTTTCCTATGACATGGCTGTATTTTAACTAAAAGGGATGCTGGGAAATAAAAGTACCTAGCATGTTAAGACTTAACTTGTAGGCAGAATTCTAGGATAGACAGCCCCATGATCCCTGCCCCTACTAGTGTCACATCTGTGATTACGTTGCACAGCAAAGGCATTTTGCAGAAGCTCCAAGTCAAGTGATTTCGAATTAATCATAAGGGAGATTATCCTGTGGCCTAGTATAATTACGTGAGTTCTAGTAGAAGAATTTTCACCAGCCAGAAGCATAGCATGAAGTCATATTCCAAGTGTGAGAAGGATTCAACATGCCACTGAAGATGGGAGGAGCCACAGGGCAAGGAATAAGAACAGCCACTAGAAGCTGTGTCCTCCCCACTCCACAGTAGCCAGCAAGCAGGCAGAGACCTCAGTTCTTCAACCACAATGACCTGAATTTTGCCAATAACAGGTATGAGCTTGGAAGAAGATACCAAGCTCTGGTTGAGAAAGCAGTCAGCCAACACTTTAATTTCAGCCTTGTAAGACAAAGCAGAGAACTCAGCCACACCATCCTGGACTTCTAATCACAGAACTGTGATACAATAAATGCATTTACTTTAAGCCAGTAAGTTGGTTGTAATTTGTTATGCAGTAAAAGAAAACCAATATAGGAATCTGTCTTTGTCTTCCTCCAGTATTCACAAGGTGGTAAAATTTCACAAGCACAAAGGTTCAAATACTGAGTGGCCAAAATGAATAGGATATGCTTTGGTGTCAACAGCAGTTAGAGAACTATGAACTATTAAAGAAGCTATTCAGTTATACAGTTTTGTGGAAACTAGCATGGTCCAACTCTTAAAAATGCTCCCATGAGTTCTAGGACTGCTGATGCCAACATGCACCCAAAAAGTAATCAATCCCCTGCAATGTTAATAAGCGGTAGATATCTTTTCAGTAGAAAGTAATGTGGCCAGAATTGCAGCAAATTACATACTTAAATGAATACATCCAGTAGTAAATCACACCAACACAAAGGAACAAATATATACAAAATCTTTATAAATTCACATATTTCACTAAAAGTGTACAAGCTGTCTCAATTCATCAAGACAAAAATGAACATTCTTGTTCTCTACAGGTCATTCATGATGTCATTGTACAATGCAGGGAAACCATAGAAACTAAAGGTTTGAAAACAATACTGTGTCATGTAAAAAGGACGGTGCATGGTTGAATTACATTGTGAATGTTAAATACCCGCCATATAACAACACTTTAACAACAGTATTAACTGGTTTGCTAAACAAGGCTTTGAGTTATAAGATGAACATATTCCAAAATTGTTTAACATCTCTACTTATAAATTAATTCACAGGATTTGTATAATTGCTTTTCAGCTTCAACTGGGTATTAGCAAAAATAATACATAATGATCCCTTTAAAAGCAACAAATTTACCTTCCTTCCTAAATGCAAACATCACATTAGATTAGATTACAACTTGTTAGCCTATCCTCTAAAAAGTCTGTGACATTAAAGAGGAGACAGACTTCTTGTTTTACTCTAACGCTTCTTTTGCTGTGGTCCACTGCTATTACTTCATTGACAGACTGGCCCAGCCCTCAAGGAATTTGAGACCTGGCATGTCTTTTATACACAGAAATGTATTCATAGGTAAAGGAGAGCAATCCAGGGACAAGAAGGCCCTAGGTGCCCCACCCTGTCTCCCTGATGAGTGGCAGGACTCAGAGTGTGGGAGCCAAGCACACTTAGTTCTCATACTAGGCTTTTTGCTTTGCTCACTTTACTCACGATTTATGTAACTGGTTGGCAGGCAGTAGCTGAGACATGTCACACTTAGATCTGAGTCCTTGTGTCATGTATGCTTGGCCAGGTTTTACCCCTTTGTGGAAAAGAATGGAGTAGAAAGGGAACATAGCTGGCTGGCAAAACCACTTCTCCCCTCTCCATCTTCCAGACCCTGGGATTCTCTCTTGACAAAACATACTACAATGATTTTTCTTTCTCCTTGCACAAGTGGAAGAAATAAAGTTCTGCAGACACCTGCAGTAAAGAGAGTCTCCAAATCCAGCAATGAAGGCCTTTAGTGCAAATAAAATGGGTTCCCATTAAGGCCAAAATATTGTTTCAATTAGGTACCATGTTGGCCCATCTTAATATCTTATAAGACCTAATTGCACCTTCCTTGAGATTGTATGTCAGCCATTTCCTGTTTGGAAATGGCAGTAGGAACAGTCAAAAACCTTGCATTGAAGGCAAAGCAGCTTCATATAAGTTTATCAGTTTAAGGGAATATTTTTTAAAAAGTAGGACCTATATTCAGTATTTTTTCACACATGTGAATTATCTGACTTCTATGTTATTAGAGTTACTTAGATGTTGTCAGGCTATAATCTGAGACCAATATTGAATGAGATGGATTTTTAAAAAAAATCTAAGAAAGGCTCCTTACTTTTCTACTAATGAGGAAAGAGGGCAAAAATTCAAGTGTCAATTTCCCTTTCCTGGGAAGAGGTTTATAAAAACAGCTCACCTTTTTAAACTCTACCAGTTCCTTTTGAAATCAACATAGCATTACAGTCAGATCTAAAGTACAAGAGGCAGGAGAAGTATTTACAAAACGGGGCATTCCTTAAGCACATAAGATCTTGCTAATACTGGGAGAACCTTAGGAGAAACTGAAGGAAAGATAACATTCTTGGTTGAGTGAGGACAGAGAAAACCAGGGTTCAACATCTTATATACACTTTTATGCCAGAATATGGCAACACATGGAGAGTTGAGGCTGTGTGATCCCTGATGTGGCCTGCTTGGCTTCTTTGTGTACCTAGAGGTTTGCAGGTGGATTGCTGTGCACAAACTGAGCTTTGGCAGACTAACCGTATCCAGTAGCTGTTCTCCTGAGAGCATAACTGCTTGGCAAGCTTAAAGGCAAGTGCGTGCTTTCATTCTTTTCATATAGCATGCTGTATAAAATCAACAAAACCAGCCCAGAACCAACCAGCTCACCACGATATAGTGCAAGTCTCACAGAAATGAATGGCCCTTGGAGAGGCTACACGTTGGTCTCCAGTCCTAGCAAACGTCCCATCCTCTCCACATTCTTATCAATGGTAGCTTGGCACGTTATCTCCTTGGCACACTCCATAGGAAACCAGCCCCTTTCTCCATCTCGCAGTCGCTCCCCCTCATACCAGCCTGCAGAAAAGAACAGAGCCCTCATGAAGCAACACACATTTGGCTGAGTCTTCACCTTGCTGGGCTCGGAGGAGGATATGAGCAAATTTCAGAGGCAGTATGCTGCCCTGGGTTTGTGCATCATGGATAATGAAAGGTGAGAGAAGTGGAACAGCAGAGAAGGTTTCAAAGGGAATGAATTATATCCCAGGGGCAGAACAGGATCAGAGGCCCTGAAGGGACAAGGCTGGGAAAGTGTGTGAGCTTGCGCTGACCTGGGGAAAGGGGTGTTTGTGTAGAATAGGCAGGAAAATGGTGGGTTTTTTTTTTTTAGGAAGTAAGAACCTCTGAAGATGAGAACTAAGTCACTGGGGGACTTGGAAGGAAAGAAAAACTTTTTATGGTTCCTTGTGACTAACAAACCATGAGACAGCATTTCCACTCAAAAACATTAGAAACAGTGAAGTGTAGGTAGAGAAAGGAAGGTGCAGATGAGAAAACCAAAGGGGTATGGAACACGAGCATCACTAACAAAATGTGGCTCCTTAGTTCTACCACACTAGAAGGCTGTGTCACGAGGACCCCTAAGAACCGGCCCACTCACCGTCGTTGACACGTTGGTAAATGAGGACCACGTCTGCCACCTGCAGGGAGAGTTCATCTGGCTGCTTGGCAGTAAATGACCTAATGATCTCCACCTGGGTCAGTGCTGGTGGGGAAAAGGGACATACTGAGCTTTCAGGAGCAGAGGGAAAACAAAACGTACAAATTGACAGTGCACATTTACTCAGTCTTTTTGTGCAGTTCAGGGTGGGCACTGACAGATACAAGTTAGGCTTCTATCAAGAAGTAGGAAATATTTCCCAGTAACTATCTTGGCAAAGAGCTTTAGAATTTTAGCTCAGAATCAATTGAGAGAGGCCTTTTATGTACGATTCCCCTCAAAAACAGCCTTGATAAGGAGTCATCAGTCATGTCACTCAATGGAGCAGAAAACAGCCATTGTTTTTTGAGGAAACTGAGGCAAGACAGAGTAGGTAATGTGCCAAGTCAATGCCACTGACAATCAAATCTGCAATATATCCTGGTCTCTTAGCCGCCCCCTGGGAGCAGCACATGAAAGCTGCCAGGGAAGTGTAGAAATAAAAAGAGCACCAGCCAGAAAAAGAGAGCCTTTAAAGGTCCCCAAAGCACTGAATCATAACAAAACAATGTTAACTTCAGCAACATCAGGTACTGACTGATGCCAAATGGCTTCCTAACATGTTTTTTAATATAAAACTTGATTTTAGGGAACTTTCAAAATAATCGCTTCAGCTTTGGCTCTCAGCTTAAAGCTATCATTTCTGAGCACTCCAGGGTAACCAGTTCTGCTGCCCTAATTCTTTGGATTTGACCTTCCGGCTAGAATCGTCCAAAGAAGCACAACATCCAAGTGAAGGAGCTAATAAGCATAGGGCAGGACCGTCTACTATGCCACTTCCTGTTTCCCTAGAAGAATGAACTATGTTTCTTAATATTATCACTTCAATGCAGAAGGTCAAATGGAATGGTAAAGTCACCTTCTTTAAGTATACGAATACAGCTTAGATTCAGGCTCAGTATGCATTACACATGCAGTTACTGTCCATTAACAACAGCTAAAAATTTAAGAGCTTTACAGTACATGCAGGGCTTTCAACACAGCCTGTTTAACTTAATCCTCACAATAACTCCACCTTGTATAAAATGATGCACCTGGCTTGGCAGATCATCAAACAGGTTTGGGGAGGCTCTGCAATGATGCCACATTTACACAAGAACTGCACCTTGGCTTTGAGTTCAGACCCCCTGATTTCCAAAGCATGGATCACACAGTTCTCAAGTAGGGCAGCAGGAAGAAAACGTTGGAGGAAACTTAAAAAGCGGGGGTTGTGGTGGTTAACCATAACCCAGGGTCCAGCAGGGGGCGCCGCCCGCCACGTTCCAGAACAGACGGCCCGCGGGGTACGTACAGGTTCGGTCTGGAGGCGGCTTCCCGCTGCTGTGTCCCAGGGCAGTTATCCAGCGGGCTCGCTCGCTCCTGAAAACACACAGGGCACATCCAACTGTGAGACTCAACGTGTTCAGACACAGAATGAAGTATGTTCTACATTGCAAAGCCCTTCCCAGAAAACCGGAGAGATTCTCCAGAGAGTTACGGGGCTGGCCTTGCCTTCAAAGCAAGGGGCAGAGTTATTAAAAAAAAATAATATGGGCAATCTAGGCTGAAAACAAGTCATTATTGCCAAAAGAGTGAATGAATTTGGCTAAATTCATTGGGTAAATGGAATTTCTCTTATGACAGCTTAACATTTAATGAAGAACTGATTACACTAACACACTGTAATCACAAAAGATATTTAGTATGCTCATAACCTGATGTTCAACATTTCAAAAAAGTAAATTTATTTCAGAAAAAATCCTACTAATTCAGTCTTTTTCCCTCTCCTTGCCCTCCCCCAAAACTAAAACCTTTTTGGAAAAGATGAGAAACTTGACATATTTAAAGTTGTTTAGTTCCTCATACAATTAGTAATGCCTAAATATGAGCCTTATTGAAATAGAAATCTTTGAACTTTTTTAGACTGTTCTCGAATGCTTAAAATGGTTTAATGAATACAAAGGGGGGAAAATTAAGGGAAAAAGAACAACCAAGACTATATAATAGTAAGCTGTAATTACATGTAACAAAATAGTTATATAACTAAAGGATCAAAATTTTCAAATCAGCAAGCACTATTTCATAATACAGTCCCCCCAATTTTTGATTTGGAAAGTCAAGTATTATAAGGACTAGTCAAGTCAAGGACTACAACTGGTTAAATAAACCACACACACACACACACACACACACACACACACACACACACACACACTATTCTCTTGAGAAGCATTTGTGAAACTCATCCTCCATGGCAGATACAAGCACTTGACATCATTGTTTCATGTAATCCCCCAAAAGTCCATGTGAAGAATGCAAAGACTACACAGTTCTGAGCTAAGAGATTCTAACCAAGGTCAGTTTGTGCTATGCCACCCTTTCTTAAGAAGGGACGCCTTTATGCCCAGGATGTGAAAATCTATTGTCGTCCTTTCACAGCCTGAACCTAAGGGTACACATCTTCACTGCCCCACATGTACCCTTCCATCCAGGCAGAGCCAGCTGCTTATAGCACTGGTACATGTCACGCTGTTCCACACCCTTTTCTATTTGCTCTTCTTATTCTCAAATACGACCTTCCCTGTTTTTACCTACCTATGCCCACTCATTATCACTATTTACATTTCTTTTTACCAAGGAACATATGTAACATAAAGCCTTGCACTCATTGTACATGTACAGAGACCTGTGAGTGTTTCCTTAGGTACATGGGCTGCCAGATCCAGAAAAAGACATGCCACGAGATTCCCTTTTGTTCCTTTCCAATCAATGACCTCCCACGAAGGTAACTGCTATTCTGATTTCCCTCAACCTATTTCCATCACATGTCTGTCTGTCTTGTACTTTGCAAAAATGGAACCCTACAGTATGTCCACTTCTGTATCTGACTTCTTTTGTTCAATGATCATCCACTTAATACTGAAAACACAAGCCTCACCTCCAAGGGGCCTCATCTGACACATGAACTCACACTTCCATCCCCATCCAGTCTGATAATCGTGACCCTACACACCCCTCGCCATAAGGGTATCACACTGCTGGTCAGCTGTCAGCCTCATGAAGGCAGGCATCTTATCTGTCTGCTTCCCTGCATTACCTCCACAACACTGCCTGGCATGTAACAAGGGCTCAGTACACTTTCTTTGACCTAATGAATCCTCAATGACCCCTCATCATTTATGGACTTATCTGTTCCTCTTACCAGGCCATAAACTCCAGGCAGGCAGGAATTGGGTATTATTCTAAATAGTTTTAGGGAACATTTATGTGCCAGTCAGGGATTTTCAGAGAACTAATCTACTCTTTACAATTATCTGGGGGAAGAAAATACCCATTACTTTTTCCTTCTTTTTTTTTTCAGAGGCTGAAGCTGATGTTTGGAGGGTTAAGTACCTGCTCACAGTGAAACGGCTAAGGGGTGGAGTCAGAATATAAGCCAGGCAGTCTGGGATCTAAGAGCTGGTGTTCCCTAGCAGGTACTTACAAAATAGTTCCTATAGAGATATCTTAATATCTCTTTAATATAGAAATAGAGAGAGGCAAGGAACGGGGAAACTGCATTGTGCTGACAAACAGACATACCTGAAGAACAAAATGAGGCCAGGCCCTGATAGAGCTGGTGCGTCAAGGAGTATTATTACAATTTATATAGAAATGGATGATCCTGTCTTGCTTTTATAAACTGTCCCTCAGATAGAACAAAGGGTTTTAAGGCATAAGGTGGTATTATAAGGAACAAGTACAGCACAAGCACCATTAAAATAATCCCAAGCAAACACTTAAATCTTTATATCATGTCTTTGTTGGGTAAGGACTATTTTTTTTTATTGAAGCTCAATTGGAATTTCCAAAGTACAAAGGCAACTGAAAACTAAATAATACTTACGGATGGAAGAGTTGCTCACCAAGATAAATCTAAAATGATCCATTTGTGACTCTATAGGCCATCCCCAAACAAGTCAGACTCCTTTCGGGCTTACCACGGCCTCTTTCCATGGCCCTGATTGCTGTCTGCAGCACTTGGTGTACAACTTGCCAAGCATGGCTCGCCTCTGGCATCAAGTGGCCAGTTGCAGAGGCAGCCCCACCCTGCAACCAGTTCCCAGAAGTCCCTGATGAAGTCTTTCGCCCCTGTGGCATGCTGCCTGGATGCTACCGGCATCCCTTAGACACGGCGGTCCCTCACAGGGACTCCAGAGGACAGAACAAGACACTCCTTGTTGCCCTTGCTGAAAGGAGCTGCTTCTTGAAATGGCTTCAATTGAGTCAGCGCCACCCCCTCTTAGATGCCGTCCAAACCGCACGACTTCCCAGGGCTTCCAAAAACTCTGCCAAGGGGCTCCCTCCCACCAGGAAGCAGAAAGCACTCAGTCACTGTGAGATGGAATTCTCAGAATGGGAAAAACCAGGGCACAGGCATACCCATTATTACATTTAGATATCAAGTCCAGGGCTCGCTCACAGACAGCTGTTCTGTACAGGGACAATATGAAACAATCCCCATGAATTCACAATCCACTCCACACATAGCTCATAGATTTTTCCCTTTGCCTAAAGGGCTAGAGTAAATACTACTGGCCTGGGGCATATCGACTTCCAAGACACCTGACCACTCCCTTCCTTCAACCATCATTCACTGAGCACCTGCCTTTGCTCAGCCCTGCTGGGCCTGCAAAGTGAATGAAACAGGGCCTCTTGCTCTTCACAGCCCTTAATGTGAAGGAGCAGAGAGAGCAGAAAACACACATAGTCCAATAGAGGGTACAGGCAACATGCTGTAATAGCTCTGCTTACAGCACATCTGACTGGTGGAGGGAAAGCAGACTGAGTTCAAAATGGCTCTGAACAGAAGGATCTGCAGTCCTTTCAGAAGCCCCACATTCTCTCTGCATGGCATGAAGGGAGGCAGGTGCAGTTCCCTTCTCAGCAGCTAGCTGTGGTGCACCCTGTCCTGCCTCTCCTGTGACTGATTAGGCACGGTAGATTGGAACTTAATTGCACAAAAGCTGAAGATACAGTGACACAGGACTCCTCACTGAATTCCAGGCATCTGCTAGAAAAGAAAGATTCATACTGAGAACATGGAAAGTGGGTTGTGAAACAGAGGCAGGACTGCAGGCGGCAGGACATGAAGAGGATGGAGCGCCCTCCGCTGGGTAGGGGTGGAGGGGTCTTCCTGATGTTTCAATCCAAGTGAACAGATGCCAGCTGCTGTTTAACCTTCCTGTATCCCTCTTCCAACAGCATCTGGCCAGAACCCTTGTGCTCCTTCTCACGGCCTACATATTTACCTAGGGCTCCTTTTGAAACTCTTATGCCCCTGCTTGGGAATAAAGCCCTTCAAGCCTTTGTAAAGGAGTCAGACTGAAGATGGCTGTTTTTTCTCCTTCACACATTTAGTTCAGCTAGGCTAGTTCAGTGAACTGATCCATCAAAGAAAACCCCCAGGGGAGAATATGTCATTGTGAATGCTGTGCGACAAAGTCTTACAAAGCTAGACACCAGTTCAACTGATCTAACTGTAACCAAAGCAAAAAAAATCCCCATAGGCCACTACCACTAAAAACGCTCTAAAACACAGATTTTGTGACATGTTATATCGTTAAACCAATTATTTCATTTATCACATCAAGTAGCTAAGTAAACCTAGAATCTAGTCGGGAATCCTGGAACTAACCTAAAATTGGTCAATTATGTGTTTGCAAGATGATAAGATCCATATGTTCATCTGCTCCCGTTTCATTGAGGTTGGTGATGAGGATCACAAAAGATCACATACTCTGATGGGCACAGTAGGAATGTAAAAGCTCATTACTGGATGTGGATTCTGGATTCAATGAGGAAAAAACACTACAGCCTATAATAAATATATATTTTTTCCATATGAATTGTTCTCTCCATATTGTGAATTTTTCTTAAAGACTGAAGCATAAGAGTCTGCCAGACATATTATTTACACTTTTATTCCATCCCATTTACTTCCTGTTGTTAATTAAATCATTAACAGAAGCAGGAAGAGCACACAAGCCTCCCTGCAAACAATGGCCCTTTATCAGGAGGCCCAGGAATGGGTTGTCTGGATGGCTGACAGGACCAGCCACGTTCATCAGGCTCTAAGTCTTTCTGTGAGAGAAACATGGGGAAGGGTATCTGATTACGGTTTGAGGTGATCATATACAATAGGTCCACATAATGGGTAACCAAAGTTTGCATTCATCACGTTCACCTCCTGATGTCCCTCATGGCACATACAGGACCCAGCTGCCATCCCGCTTCCACTGGAGGGCCAGGAAGCCAAGGAGCGCCCTGCTGCAGCTTCTTGTCTGTGCCAGCTGCAGCCGTCTGTGCTTCATTTCCATGGATGCAGACAAAGGGGGCTC